AGCGATAGCGAAATGCATGGCATCAGTCCAAGCCTCGATTTCTTCTGAATTGAGGCTGGTCTTGGGTCTGAGTTGCTTATGGAGTTTGTTTGCAGGTGGATCTATTTCGAGCGAACTGCGATAGAAAATATCGGAGGAATCCATGCATGGATGTGGAATGTTCTGATCTTTCTAATTGGGTGTTCGTGGGTGTTGAAGGGGGTGTTTTTCCTTTTTTTCTTTTCTGATATCTGTAGCTTTAAAGCTTTATTCGTTAGGCTTGAATGTATGAAGTAAATGTTATTCTTGTTTTTATATATAAGTAGAAGTAGTGTGCGTTTATATAGATCGATGTACGGAGTAGTATGTAGTATGTAGTATATCAGTTCCTGGAGGTTAGACCATATAAGTCGACTGGGTCAGGGCAGATAATATATTATAATATATTTCACTCTATTCTATTCTATATTACATTCTAGTATTGGCTGATTCTTCGACTTTTCCATTCTTGGATGACGTAGGCTCAAGGATCGGATGATGGGGCACTTCCCACCAGGGACCCTTTCACAGGGGAAATCCCCGGAATCCCCCAGACTTGACTTCCTCAACCATGCCTCCATTTCGCAACTTTCTTGGACGAAAGTCCCAACCCAATGGGGATACCACTGCCTTGGATGACAACCATCTCTCTCCAAATGAACGTCCTGCGCCCATACCCATCCGCAATAGCCACGATGAACCCACCGAGTACAAATTGAGTGGTATGTTCGAATCCCCGCACTGCTGCGACTGTTGTGACTGCTGTGGCGACTTCCTCTCTTGTAGTACTAACCTCGGTCCCCAGTGGTCAACGACAGCGGTGTCTATCTTCCGGTATAGGCTGGGTGTGATCGGAAAAATGTGATACACCTGCTAATTACTGCGACAGCCTTCTCCGCCAGAACGACCGAGTTTCTGGCGCCGATACCCGGGCTCCAGCAAATCCGTCAACCACCGAGATCTCGTTGATGATAATGAGCCTTTCTCCATTTCTCGCGAGTCCTTTGACTCTTATCGCCGATCATTTGTATGCCCCGCGAACCCGAACCGATCCGCTTGAACCCAACTGACATTAACTTTCCAACTTAGGATATATCTGCCCGCTCACCCATCATTCATCCCGATGCTGCTCCGTCTCGAACTTCTCTTGACTCTCGATTCTCCCGATTAACCCCGTCGGGAACTCAGTGCAATAGCCTCACCAAGTCTGAAATCATGGAGGAAGAAACCTTTGAAGAAGTAGGATTAAATGACGAGGCGAAACCTAAGAAGAAGGGTTTCCTCTCCAGATTCGGTGACTCCGGTAACGATGCGCAAACATCCGGGCCCAAGTCGTCCACCTCGTCCTTCGGCTTCCATATTCCCGGCCGGAAGCGCGGCCAGAGTGGCGGCGGATCAGAACTGGCATCTGTGAAAGTAGCCCCATCTGCACCCGCGCCCACTGATGAGACATGAAGCAATGAGTGACGAGACATGTTTAATGCGTTGTGATTCTCTCCGCGGCGTTTCGGGTTTGTTTCGGGTGATATAAGCCACACTCGTTCAAGGAGTAATATACCATGGGACTTGGTCGATGACACTAGGAGTCATCTTGTCCATGCAGAGTCTAGGTGGCTCATGTCGCTTATTAGCATATTGTATACATCTGTTGCCATTGAGTTGCGACTCGGGCTATCTGTGCTTTGTTCAGAGACAATGTCCTACATTTTATTCTGATAGAACTTCCATGGAAAACTGCCCTTAGACCTCCATATATCAGTCAGTCTTATTCTATGTAAGAATTCAATAGAAATATTCTTTTTAATGCGTTGCTAGACCTGCTGGAAGCCATAGTCCATCTCAGGGCTATGTTATATCTTATCAATGCAAACTGTGCAAACAGCCGGCAAAAAAACTTCCTCCGCCTGCGATCCAAAAAAAAATTATCCACCAGGACATCGAGCAGTCTCCGCTCGCAAAGACCCCAGTTTTATTACTTTTTTCAATCGGAGATACCCTAAAGCCTACGGAAATTATCTTTCATAATGGCTGGATTGAAGCGCGCTGTTGACGGCAGCGAGGAGCGCAATGGCAAGCGGAGCAAGACTAAGGAAGCCTCCACATCGAAGTCCAAGTCCGTGAAGTCGAGCTCTTCGTCTAAGAAGGACTCCAAGAAGGATTCCAAATCCAGCAAGAGCGACAAGAAGCCCTCGAAGAAGGTTCAGAAGGAAGAATCCGAGGATGACGATGACTTCGACATTGACGATGTCTCGGACGAAGATATTGATGCCCTTGACGCCCTTTCAGACGATGAAGAGATGCACGATGTGAGCGATGAGGAGGAGAAGCCAGTGTCAGACAAGAAGTCTGATGCGGATGACGAAGACCAAAAAGAGGCCCCAAAGAAGGCTAATCCCAACAGTAAGTTTCAGTTCTGCCTCCTTGATGGTGCCCCATCTAATCGTTGTTGCGCGTTTAGACAACAACTCTCGCGAATCCCACATCAAGCAAAAAGCACTCCAGCAGGAGCGCAAAGCCGCGAAGCCGAATGCCGATACCGTCGCCCGCTCCAAGAAGTTGTGGGAGCAGTTGCGCCGCAAGTCCCATGTGCCTCTGGAGCAGAGAAAGAAGCTCGTCAAGGAGCTGTTTGAGATCATCACTAACCGCGTCCGTGACTTCGTGTTCAAGCACGACTCGGTGCGCGTTATTCAGACTGCTCTCAAGTACGGAAACCTCGAGCAGCGCAAGCTGATTGCGCACGAGTTGAAGGGCACTTACAAGGAGCTGGCGCAAAGTCGATACGCTAAGTTCTTGGTTGGAAAGTTGATTGTCCACGGAGACGACGAGACCCGCGATTTGATTATCCCAGAGTTCTACGGCCATGTCAAACGTCTTATCCGCCATCCCGAGGGCTCATGGATTCTTGACGATATCTACCGCACAGTTGCAACCAAGGCACAGAAGGACAGACTCCTCCGCGAGTGGTACGGTCCCGAGTTTGTCATTTTCCAAGATGAAAATGATACCACTTCCGATCTCCGTAAGATCATCGAAGCTCACCCCGAGAAGCGTGGGCCGATCATGAACTACTTGCGCGAGCTGATTAACCAGCTGGTGCAGAAGAAGAGCACCGGTTTCACTATGCTTCACGATGCTATGTTGCAATATTTCCTCTGCACAAAACCCGGCAGCAACGAAGCGAGCGAGTTTATCGAACTGCTCAAAGGCGACGAAGAAGGTGACTTGGTCAAGAACTTGGCTTTCACTAAGTCCGGCTCCCGCTTGATGTGTCTGTCCCTCGCATACTCCAACGCTAAAGACCGAAAGCTGCTTCTACGATTCTTCCGCGACACCGTTAAGGTTATGGCCGGCGACATCTACGGTCACCAGGTTATCCTTGCTGCGTACGAGGTCGTTGATGACACAAAACTCTCCGCCAAGTCCTTCTTCCCCGAGCTTTTGAACCAGAACGACGGCGAAGAGGCCCGCAACGAGGAGCTTTGCTACCAGGTCAACGACCTGACCGCACGTATCGCCGTGCTATACCCCTTCGTTGGCGAACGCGTCAAGTGGCTCCTCCCCGAGGTCGACAACCCGGTCCTCGAAGAAGTCCGCGAGGTCCGCAAAGAAACCTCCAAGAAAGACCCGGCCATACGCCGCCAGGAACTCGTCAAGGCTGCGTCGCCGACGCTGCTCGAATTCATCGCTGCCCGCGCCTTTACCCTCCTAGAGACGACCTTCGGTTGTCAGTTCCTCGCCGAGGTGCTCTTCGCGGCCGACGGCGACAAGACTGCCGCTCTCGCAGCCGTGGCCGAGGCCGCCAAGTCGCACACTGAAGCCCGCGATACCGCACACGTGGGGCGTCTTCTCAAGTCTCTTGTGCAGGGTGGACGATTCAACCCGGCCACAAAGTCCATTGAGAAGGTGGAGCCTGCGTTGGACTTCCACGCTGCGCTGTACGAGCAGATCAAGGATGAGGTCATGGACTGGGCGACGGGGGCTAACCCCTTCGTGATTGTCGCGCTGGCTGAGTCGGAGGACTTTGAGAAGAAGAGCGAGCTGCTCAAGACCCTGAAGAAGAACAAGAAGGCGCTGGAGCAGGCCTCGGCGTCCGTCGTGGAGAAGGATGGACAGAAGAAGCCCACCCCGACTAGCAGTGGTGCGAAACTGTTGCTTTCGAAGATCTAGATATAAGCGTTTCTACGGGATTATAGCATGTGTAATTACGTTGTATACAAAAAAGCATACCTTTCTTTTTTTTTTCCTATCTTTTTTTTCTCCATTTTTCTTCTCTTTCCTCCTCGAATGGACGTTGAGATGTGCCTGAAATTACATTCTCCACAGATGTGGAACTCATACATGGCCGATCTCAGGGGTTCGTCCATTGTTTTTAACTATACGGAGTAACAAAGAAAACCTCGGAAATATTCAGCTGTATGTTAAGGCAATAAAAATGTCTCCTATATCTTTACTGCAATAATGCATCTTTTACGGAGTACGGAGCATAGGTATACATCACATTCAAGGGCCATGTCTCTCTGACTATTCGTATTAACTCGAACGGTCGAGACAATCCCAATTAAAGAAAGAAATTACGGAGTCGATAGACATTTACCTTTGTAATCTTATTATAGAAAGCTTATTGTTCTCGAGGTGTAGCTGTCGTAGAATGTAGAATATTGATCTGATCCATCTACTGCTATTTCATACCTATTACTACTTAAAAACTACCATTGCAAATTGCAAGGGTAGTCGAAGCCTAATTCCCTACATATGTACTCTGTACTCTGTACGAGAGGAGATAGCAAATTGGGAATATCTTCACATCCACAGATCCCAATAAGGCAATGATCAGGGCACGCTAAACTGTCTAAGGGGAGAAACTAACTGTGGCGGTACCCAACCCGTCCACGTTGATTCTGCGACTTCAACCCTTTCTCTCTCCTTCTAACCATTCTGCAACGGAAAATCCCCAGGCCCCAGGGCCTGAGAGAGAGAAAAACATGCCCTCACTCACTCTAACAGACCCGGACATGATCCTGCCGTACGAAGGCGAACGCGAATCCCAAACTCCCTCCCCACCGCGAATCGCCTACTTGTCGCATCTCAATTCCCGCCAACCAGACCCCAATGCCTCCATGTCGGCGCCCAGACAGAAGAAAAATTTTTCTCGCCATGCCTGGACACACGACGACGTGAATGTCAGCCGCCGTCTCTCGGATATTGGCGAGGAGCTCTCGCCAGATAGATCGGAGGGATTCGGCGATTCGGATGAACATGAGCTGGCCAGCTCACCGCTACTGCATGAGCGCGACGATCGGAACAAGGATAATGCTGCGTGGAGTAGCTCCAATTCCACAATTAGTGCGGGGAGCAGACGCGCTTCCGCTTCTAGAGATGTATCCGAGGCGCATAACGGACGCGACGAATCCCCCCGTCCACCCCGAGGTCGCGAGAGCGCAAGCTACCGCGGTCGTGGGTACTGGGGCTTCCTCTGTACCGGCTAGTAGCGCTGTGGCGTCTGCAGCTGCAGAGGGCAAGGGGCCCGGGAGGAGTTTTCCTCCGCGATACTGAGTAGCGAGGCGGAGAGGATTCTGGAGAATGCGAAGAAACGGTTAAATGTATGTTGATATCCTGCGCGCCACAGGTTGGCTACGCAGTAATACTAACGTGTTTTGTTTCTCAGCTTATGGAAAACAATCTCACTCGAGCTCGGTCGACGACGCCGCGCACGACCGCCTCGCCCTCGCCCTCGCCCTCGAATTCCGGCTATATCCAGCCGATGGGTATGCACCAGCCTGTGGGGGGACTGTATCGGTCAATTTCACGCACGGATCCTAAGAACTCTTCGCTTCGACGGCAATCGCTTATTGCGTCGCAGGATACGACGAATAATCGTCATTCGAGAGTGCACTCTGAGACGAATTTTCCGTCTGATTCGAGCTTCTCGAATGATAAGCGCATCTCACGCTCTGTCAGTGCGATGGGCGCAAGCACTTCGTCCAGTCTTCATACGGATGATCGGTCGTTCCACTATGCACCTACGAGAGCGTATCTGACGCACCGGTCATCGGTTTCCTCTATGCAGCAGCCCCCGAGACGTGCACATGAGCAGGAGCAACACGACCAGGCTGCGCAGTCACCTGTTTCTGCCGGAGGCAGTTCGTCGGACTCGCCACAAGGCTTGGGCAATTCCGAGGAGGAATCGAAATCCAGTCCGGAGGGTTTCAGTCCAGTCTACAGCTCCTTTGGTCCCCCTAGCCGCGCGCAGTCACAACTGCAGGTGCGAGATCTCCAGTACCAGATGAAGGGGCTTCATATCAAGATCTCTTCTCTCAAGGTGAAGAATCAGGAGGATAATCTTCGCCGACGCAGCTTGCAAAGCTTGCGAACGCCCAGCCCATTGACGGCCGCCGATCACTGGTATGCGAATGCGCTGGAGCTCAGAGATGGCCAGGGCAGTCGTGGGTCCAACCCCCAACGTAACGCCAGCTCTGAAAATATCCGGCGTGCCTCGAAATGATGCAGCGGAAGATCAACGCAGATCCGATGAGCATGCCGCTGGGAATAAATCCAAACACACCGGGAATTGGCAAGGCAATGAGCCTGCGGACTATCCCGATGACCAATCTGTTGCCGACACCATGTACGAAGATGCTGAAGAAGGTGATTTCGATGAGGACATTGACCGCGAAGCTCTGAATGAGATCTTACGCGAACCCCTTGACGATGACTTCGAGAACGACATGGAAGCCTTCCCCGACATGCCATCGCACACGGATGCGACTCCGCACGAGATGCGGGAGGATGCGTTCGACTATGAGCATTTCATCTTGCATAGCGCACTGGGCAACTACACCCAGCAACTCCGTCGAGTGAGCAACAGCTCGAACGGATCAGTCGAGACAACTCGGCCCCCATATACAGCGCGACACTCCCGTACCAACAGCAATATGTCCGACTCGACAGTGGCAACCTTCGCAACCGCAACCGAAGGCGAGCGTCCCGACGACGAGGACGACATTGACAGCGTGATGTACTGGGACCGACGGTTCAACCATGGTGCGTTCCCGCGATCCATTTCCCCTGGCGTTTCCGACACTAATCCTTGGACAGAGCTGCGACACGGACATAGCCATGGCCATTCCCAGTCACATGCTCATGGTCACCCGCACAGCCACAGCCACCAACCAAGTCCAATCCAAGAGCTTGAGGCTGAAGGTGATCGCTCCGAAACACCCCGCGGACCACGACACGAAAGCGACACCAACCAAGTGGACCCGAACAACCTCTCCCCTCAGAAACTTACTGGCCGCTCATCCTCAGCTACAGCTGGTTCCGCAACCCCAACCTCCCTTGTTTCGTCCCTCGTCTCGACTGTGCGTGCGGCATCCAGCACCCCCAGTGTCGGTGGCATCAACGATGATGACACACAGATGTTGGAAGCACTGTTTGCCAGCCTGGGTAACGTTTGTAAGGATCTGCAGGCCATCACGACCTCCCCGGATCCAGATGTGAAAGCTGCGCGTGTGCTGCGGCGTCGTCTGGATGCGGCGCGGAGAGTGCTGGACGGAGAGCTTGATGCTTGATTTGATCTTGCTATCGTTTCTCATTTCATCGCTGCATAGTGGATTATGCCATATACCATGATTTATCCCTGATTTGAGCGGGATTGACGTTCTTTTGTTTCTTTTACTTGTTTCTCTTCGGCCATATTATCATGATACCCTGTGTTTTATTTTTATTTTTTCTTTATCTGTTGACTGTGATTTATTGTACCTAGGTTATCTAGAGACTCTAGAGTATAGGAATAATCTAATTAATGTCATAATCAATGTATGTTTTGTATGGGCTCTGGATATTCTTGGACGAAGGTCCAACCAACAATTATAATATTTCTCGTTAAGTCCCCTCTTCTGTTGGCTTCCAAGGTTATTTTCCCCCTTAAAACGAACAGACTGAGTTCTCTCCTCTCTCCTCTCTCCTCTCTTCTTTCATCCCTCTTCATCATCAGTATACATCCATCTCCAAAGTCACCCCCCTTTCTGCCCCGCGATCTCCTAATCGGGACACTGATCGCCCAACGATAAGCAGAGCCTGTCGCGCCCTCCATACACGCCACTGTCAACAAATAGTAAGCGCTTGAACTACATACAAAAGAGAGCATACTAATAAACCCCAGAAGAAAACCCTCTATCTCTAAGCATCGCAGCCAGAGAAAACAGCACAAAAGTCCAAGTGGGAGAAAGCAAAACAACCCCCAAAAAAAAAAAAGAACAGCCAAACTGAACAATCCATCTCCCCAAACACCAAGCCCAAAAAAAAGAAAATCCAACACGGACCTTCGCAAAAACCTATTGCGCACTCTGCACACTCAGAAATCCTCCACGATGAGCATGAGCGTGAACGCAAACACCAGACCACCAGCAGGCGCACCGGCGTCGCCCGCCTCGCGCCGTCTCCTCATCTTCCAGGAGGCGCGCAACCCGCAGAACGTCGCAGAGACTGTCTACATCCCCGTCAACAAGCTGGGGTTACCTATTTGTGGTGATGGGCCTGAGTTGCCTTCTATTCTGGAGTTGCCGCTGCGGGTGCTGAGGGTGTTTACGGATACCTTTAATCAGCCGAAGTATAAAGGATGGTATGTGTGATTTTGTTTTTTGATCCTCTGTCACTTGGTCTTGGTTTTGATGTTATCATTTAAGTGTGACATGTGCTAATTTAATCGTTCTAGGGCCGTTGTCTCTGCTGGTCCTTACCGTGATATCACAGAAGACGGGAAATTCTATGCTGTGCTCTTGGAGCAGACGCAGCATACTGTGCATGCATCGCATGAGACCCATATGGGGACACCTTGATCTGTTTCTTTTTATGTCTGTTGATTTGTTATGCTTTGTATATTTTTATGCTATCATTAGGTGTTCCTGTGAATCTATGAATGTCGAATAAGACATGGCAATATGATTTTATTGAATGAGATAAATAATAAATGAAGGGAAAAACAAGAAAAAAAATAGTAGTCGTCTCACCAAATTGCCAACTTCCCTGTAACAGGACGGTGTCATCTGGCGACGCCATCCCGGGGTGAAAATGTCTCTGCAGAATTGCTTCCCTCAAGGGTCATTTCCATTGCTTAGTGGCCTCCAGCGTCGTGGATTACTCGCACGAGTGAAAATGCCAACCCCGGGATTCGTACCAGGCACCTTTCCTGCTGGCCTTGCGACCGAAGCAAGGTAATCGGCATGGCGGTGAGCCTTCCACTAGGTTATCCATGACAGATTATCATTTCTTTACTTGTTTTATTATAAGTACTACACTACTAACTATTAACATCTTAATATAGTATTACTATGTTCAACTTTCATTCCAACCTCAATTTTATACAGTTATAAATCAATATACATATTAAAATACATCTAAATACATCTAAATACATCTAAATACATCTAAATACATCTAAATACATCTAAATACATCTAAATACATCTAAATACATCTATTTCACACATGTCACTTCCCACTCATTCCTCAAATCGTCCTGTATCAATGTCTGCCTGTTCAGGCTTCACAAATCCCGGCCTGAAAACAACCTTATGACCAATGTATAACACCGCAAACAGCATGAGACTGAGGTAGTTGATGAAGAAATCCGTAACACTGAACTTCGGAATGAACGCAGTAAAACCCTGAGTAATAATGATAAGGATGTTGAAGAACAAGCCGTACCACGAGAAGAAGGGCTGCCAGGGAGCCTTATACGGAAGAGTGTCGCGTGAAATCCCTTGCGCAGCCAAGGCTTTCATAAATGCAAGATGGCAAATATTCAGAGATGCCCAGGTAATAAAACCTGCCAAGCCAGCAATTTGCATCAACCAGTTAAAGACCGTAGCTCCGGCATTTGAGACATTGAGGAAGCCCAACAGGCCAAAAAGAGCTGTAAACCCAACACTTGCATAGGGCACGCCGTGTTTGGTTGTCTTCAAGAAAAACCGAGGAGCGAATCCCTCGTGAGCCAAACCGACTAGGATCCGACTCCCGCTGTAGACGTTCGAATTGGCAGCGGAAAGGACCACGGTAAGCAGGACTGCGTTGATGATACTAGGTAGGACGTTGACACCAGCGCGTTTCGCAGCAATGACGAAGGGGGATGCATCCGCATTCGTACCGCTGTCATCGGAGGTAAGGCGTTTATCGTCAGATGGCACCACGATGCCGACGAAGAAAATCGTAAAGACAAAGAAAAACACGATCCGAAAGAAGGTTTTCCGAATTGCAGAGGGGATATTCTTGCGAGGGTTTTCCGTCTCACCCGCTGCAATACCGACCAGCTCGGTACCTTGGTACGAAAACCCGGCTTTGATCAGAATGGCCCAAAATCCGACGAATTTAGCCAGAGCGTCTTGTCCAGAATCCTCGATCAGATAAGCGCGGAATGGGCCTGGATGCACCCAGTATCTGAAGCCCAGATACCCCTCCCTGCCAACGCCAGCATTGATGCAAATAGCGAAGATCATAAATCCAACAACGGTGATGATTTTGATACTCGAAAGCCAGAATTCGACTTCACCGTAGCAGCTCACAGGGAACATGTTCAGAATTATAATAACAACCCAGAACACAGCAATGAATATCGCCATTGGGATCGCGTCATCCCAATATTGAATGATCAGGCCAGTGGCAGTCAGTTCTAGGGCAAATGTCGAGGCCCAGGAAAACCAGTAGATCCAGCCCATTGCAAAGCCTAGACTGGGATCGACTAGGCGCGTCGCATATGTGGCAAAGGCTCCTGCGATAGGTAGGTAGGTGGCTACCTCACCCAAGGCTATCATGACTGAATACACGATTGATCCAATGAAGGTGAATGCAATCAGGGCACCGACAGGGCCTGCGGTAGCAATGGCACTCCCACTACCGATGAACAGACCTGTCCCTATGGCACCTCCTGTAAAAAGATAAGAATATGAATATGCATACGAAACAGGAATGTGTATAGCTCGCGCTTCTTACCCATTGCGATCATCTGTAGATGTCGGCTTTTGAGCCTTCGCTGCAAATCCGGCAGCTTGTGTGACGTGCCATGGCTGTGTTTCTCTCGACTCTCTTCAATGTCGCCGGCCATTGAGTATCTGATTGAGTTCTGAGTTTGCTAGAAGCAAATCAAAAGTGGCAGAGCCGCTTTTGGAAATCTTCAAATCTCAAATTTGATTGTCTGGCCTCTGATTGGTTGAAAATTGAAACTGGGCCCTAAGCACGTGAGATTAATGCCTTGGTGCCTTGGTGACCCACTTGCCGGTGTTGTACGTGTGTACCGCGAAGGTCTTGTGAAGGCTCTGATACGCGACGTAGGGGCTAGGAGCGTTGCTCATATAGGTCTTAAAGGTTGGGTGAACTGTGGCGCGAAGGCACGAGAGAAGGATAAGAAGGGTTCACGGGAGCTGGCTGAGCCTGAGTGCCGGTGAGGATCCCGGGTGCCGAGAACGCAGTTTAGTGCGGTGGGCCACAAGGTGAAGTTACATTCGCTGGTGAGAACGGGATAAGCTCTGGAGATTAGGCTCTGCGGAGCTGTTACTGCTGAAACACATGTTGACCGTGTACAAAGACGGAGCGTGGATTGCGGTGATGCCCATGTCGCATGCGAGGAAAGAAGGTTGACTGCGTAGGTAGCGGACTTTCTAGTGAGTGCCAAGGATGAAAGGGACCAAGATAGTGAACGTTGAAGGAGAGTACCGAGAGATAGTGGCTGTCGAGAGAGAGAGAAACCTGTACGTCCTTTGCTGATAACGCGTAACAAGTGTGAAAGCTCTATGCATGGGTGGTCGCCTGGCCGGTTGCCGTGTCGTGTAGAGAGATCCCTAGTTGAGGGTGATGATGTGGTGTCGTAAAGAGAGGTGCTTAGCGGATGATGAAAAAGAAGAAGGTTGGATTTTGAGTAGTTGCAGAAGCTAGGTTCTAAGCTATAAAAGTTTGACAATCATTTGTGTCTTGGAAATAAGTGCCTGATTCTTGGGATTGTACTGAGAGGCCAGGCCCTGGTGTGTAGTCACTGGAAATAGCAGTTAGTTAACTGTGTTATCCAGAAAGGCAGATACCTTGCAGGATATCTCATATTTATGTTGCTCCCAACGGGGAAATTCTCAGAATCTGAATGTTTCCGATACTGTGGATTTCAGCTGGATAAGTGATATCATGTCATTGTACAAAGAAATGGATGAAATGGACAACTGTAATTTCGTCATACAATCGGCCAGGTGTAAAGGGCTGACTCAGGTCGAGTTTCTGAGGAAGCTCTGCGGTGACAAAGCGACGTGATTCGGACTTTGCGTCCGCTTGGGAAAGCTCACTTCGGGTTATCGAAGGTTGTCGAGGCTTTCGTTTCCGGTTATATCACGTATCGTCTGACCCAGACGCAGTATCCAGTGGAGGATCTAGATTTGGCTCTGGCGCAGGGCTTACTTTGGGCTACCGAAAGTTGCTGAGGCTTTCCTTTCGGGTTATAAGACGTATCATCCGACACTGGTTTCTGATGTTCGAAAACAGTTCAAGGCTTCTACTATGAGAAGACAATAAACGCCGGATGGGTGGTAGCTCTTAGGAAAGCCCGCGGAATCTACCTACGTAGTATTGGGAATTCAAGGCATCACCAAGCAATGAAGTTGGACCGAAGTTCATCCGTGCGGGTAACATATAAAGGACTTGAACCCTCCACCCGACGTTGTTCTAGTAAAAAAGAATGCACTGGAGGCATAGAGGCATCTGATGTTTGGAGCATATGGCAAGCATGAATTGAGGTAGAGCTCATGATGGGACGTAAACTCTGGTATTACTATGGAAAAGAAACATAAAGGCATCATGTTACCTGACTTTCATGAGAGTGAGACAACTGTGGGGTGTTGAATCCAAAACAACTACTTGTTAGCTTAGTACACTATTTCTTAGGGCTGCAGGGTTGTAAAAGCGACGCCAGCCAAAATAGGGAACTATCACCCGACAAGGAAAAAAAAGCTTGCGCCGGATATATCTTGCACCGTATATATGTAGTCATGAAGCGGAAAACGCGGAATCATTTAATATAAACGTTTGGCATGTCACTAATATCACTAATAATGGAGAGAAACCAAAAATGCCGCGGAAAACGCTGTAAAGCTCAAATACAGGTAATTTTGAAGCTCCGAGTGATTTATTTAATACCGTAAAAACCGAAGACAGAAAAATACCATTAAAACCGTAAACAGCCCAGGAAGAAAAACGCCACTGTCCAGGCATTGTTCGCCGAAACTGTCTTCTGAATGATAAAAAGTCCAGGAAAAAACGAGCTTAGAATGGGCTGATCCAGACAAACCGAAGTGGCATGAGTGCAGCCGAGCCCCAGGACCAAATTTATTGGACCAGGAAGCTCCTTAGCAAGGCTGATGGATCCATCTTATCAACGGTTATGTACGCCAAGGAGGCCGGCCCCGACTAATCAATCTCTCTATGGAAATTATTCCTTACGGGCACTTTACCCGACACTTTCCTTGAGACAATGTACTCATTGGTGCAGAATCTTCCTTGTTACCGATATCGGATAATGCATACTACCTGGTATATATTAGGGTATATAAGCTCACTGATCGGCACTTTTTAGCCAAGCTTCGAAGCATAGAGTCTCTCGCCATGGCATCCAAGGAGACGCAGATCGCTCAGGCGACGGCTACTGATGTTACCTATCCCACTGAGAAAGCGCCAGAGACAGCTCAGCCACCGGCGTATACGGCTGATGGCAATTCAGACCAAGAGTCTCTCGATCAAGAGGCTCAGGCTGGTGTGAAGGGAGTCCAGGCCGCGGCCGTCGTGTGGACTAAGTCTCATATGATCCTGGCATATGTGATGTGAGTATCTCTTCATGATCCAACGTTTATATCTATTCAAATACTGACTCTGACTGTCCTCCTGCGAAGCATTTGGTTTATCTACTTTGTCACCTCCATCCAGGAGGTCGTCATCCGTTCCCTAAACCCCTACGTGACCAGTGCATTCCAGCTCCACTCTTTGACGGCTGCCACGAGTATCATGGCCAATATCATTGGAGGCTTGAGTAAAATCCCCCTGGCAAAGATCTTGGACTCGTGGGGTCGGCCTCAGGGTATGTCTTTGATGTTGCTCATTTGGGTTGTGGGTTTCATCATGATGGCGGGCTGCAACAACGTTCAGACATACGCGGCCGCCCAGGTTTTCTCATCCGTGGGGTATGATATCCATATTCTTGCCAAATATTTTCCCAACTGCCCAGCTAATTCGCGACAAATTCTAGATCCCAAGGAGTCAGCTATTGTTTGACCGTTTTCATTTCGGACACCTCTTCGTTGAAGAACCGAGCCCTCATGTTGTCGTATGCAACCTCGCCATACATCATCACCACCTGGATCGGAGGACCAATTGCCCAGAGTGTCCTCGGAGGCCCTGGCTGGCGATGGGGATTCGGAATCTTCACCATCATTGTTCCGGTTGTGGTGGCTCCTCTGTGTCTTCTGTTCTTCTGGAATCAGCGAAAGGCCAAAAAGATGGGCTTGCTCGCACCCAGCCGTGGTCCTCTCACCTTGTCTACAATCAAGCAGTACTGCATTGAGGTCGACTTGATTGGAATCATTCTCCTGGCGGGCGGAATGGCCCTGTTCCTTCTTCCATTCAGTCTCTGGTCATACCAAAAGGATCAATGGCGCTCGGCGATGATCATTTGCATGATCGTTTTTGGAGGCCTTTTGCTCATCGCATTCGCTCTCTACGAGCGATTCTGGGCTCCAGTGACCTTCATCCCGTTCAACCTACTTATGGACCGAACTGTCTTCTTCGGTGGATTGATGTTCATCTTCGAGTTTTTCAACTCGATGGTCTGGGGTAGTTACTTCGGATCCATGCTCCAGGTCGTCTGGGGCCTGGATGTCACCGAAGCCAGCTATGTCCAAGCCATCTACAGAGTGGGATCTTGTCTCTTTTGTCTGCTCGTTGGTTTCCTGATCCGCTGGACTGGTCGCTTCAAATGGCTGGCCGTTTACTTCTCCTTCCCGCTTATGATTCTGGGCGTTGGACTGATGATCAAGTTCCGCCAGCCCGATGCGGGTATTGGATATATCTGTATGACTCAAATCTTCGTTGCCTTCGCTGGTGGAACCACTGTTATCTGCGGCGAGCTTGCTATGATGGCGCCTTCGGATCACCAGCACATCGCTGTTATCCTTGCCATGCTGAACCTGTTCGGTAGTATTGGCAGTGCTATTGGGTCAACTGTGTCTGCCGCTATCTGGACCAGTGAGTTCCCCAAGGCGCTGGCTAAATACGTGCCGGCAGAGGTGAATGTAGCAAAGGTCTATTCGGACATCACCGCCCAGCTGTCGTATGAGTGGGGCAGCCCGGCTCGGAATGCCATTGCTCACGCTTATGGAGATGCGCAGCGTTATATGCTGATTACCAGTGTTTGTATGCTGGTAGTTGCCTGGGGATGTTCTGGTATGTGGAGAGATATCAAGGTTAAGGATCTTAAGCAGGTCAAGGGACGCGTGATCTAAGTTGATGTGGCGTTGATGGAAAAGTGTGAAGCCGGCAGATGAAGGTCGTGATCAGATCGAAGCTAGTGGGAGTCAGTGTGTAATAATGTTTCTCTACTTAGTTTGTCATACGATTAATGTCTACTATATACTGAAGAGTATATCATCTCTTTCTACACTTTGGCTCACTTAAAACAATAGTTCAATGTTTAGGGGACTTCTGTACACCATCCTTTAGAAAATCAAAGTGGTATTCTATTAAGATTAGTACAGTCGAGCTCTCTCTTTGTCTATTCTTACTAAAATTACAACACAGAAATCCCAATACCTACCTAACACCGACCCTTTACGGGTACGACTTTGGAAACCCCTTTCTCAATCCCCAGGCCATGAGCTTCTACTTGAACATATCCAATCTTCCCTTTGATGCTCGCCACGGTCTCAAACCCTGTCTTCCGTACAGCTGCGACCGGACTCAGGTCTGAGGCATTAGCGCCTCCGAAGACCTTCCACATTTTATGCTCAGTAGCTCCGTTCCAACTCATATAAACATTGGTCTTGTTACGACCCTGCTCAATGCAAGAAAACACATCGGGGAGAGTCTTGGGGACGCCGACCCAGGGTGAGCGAATAGGCACGGTAACTTGCGACGACAGCATCGAGTCCAAACTGCGCAGTCATGACACAAGTCCCGTTGGAGTTGTACTCCTTGACCTTAGGGTTCGATCCATAGCCCATTATGGCATGGTTTCCAGGCAGCAGTTGTGTGTTTCCTTGAGAAGTCGAGAATATCTCATCGCGTGGGTCGTGGAGAGTCTGGACAAGGGAGACCTCACGAGTGGCTAGATTGACGTTCATCAGTATGCCTTCAGTGTGGTGAGTTCCGTTCTGGACATCAGAGTTGGCATTGTCGAAGATGCTGAGCATGAATCCATCCTCGGTCTCGTCGTGGATGCGGGCGTCGTGTTGGTAGCTGAATTTGATTCCGTTGAGATTGAAGTCGCCGCCAGTTTGACCCTATTGTAGATTTTGAGTATGTGAAATATACGTGGGACACTTGAAGGAGCTTGAATTCACCTGTAGCGTCCAGCCAACCGATCCATCCTTCGCAATCTTAAATAGCGAACAGTAGTAGCGAGAGGAAATGATGTAGGTTCCATCTTGGAACTTGTCCACGGAGTTGATGTGGAAGTAGCCATAGGGATAGCTGCTGTTGCGTCCCCAGTCATTGATTGGGTAGAAAGGCTGTACGTGTTCCAAGGGGATCTGATCAATGTGGTCCAGAGCGCTCCAGCGGAAAAGTATCTCGTTGGTCTTGACGTCAATCTCATAGAAGAGCGAGTCAGCGATCCAGCCATTCTTGGGGCCTCCCACAGAACTGAGATCAGCCTGGGTAACATTGTAACCTGTAACCAGCATTGTTCCATCCGGCGTCATCGTGTTCTCGTGCATGTCAATCCAAGATACAAAGGATGAGCTGTCAATGCTGCCCAAAGCCTTGTAATTGTCGTTTGTCACAGAGACATTGTAGATGCTCTGGTAGGACTCATCCAAAACTTGAATAATGCCGTATCCCCAACCAAAGGGCTCCGGGACTCCAAGGCCGTTGAAGTACGTCAGGACAGGCTTCCCATCCAGCTTCTGTACTCGGAAACCCTTCAGGTCACCGCGCGGGCTTTGCCAGACAAGCTCGTTCTTGTCCGACATAATAAACACGCTGTACTGATGCGCGTCCCATGATTGATCGAAGAAGAGGTATCCGGGGCTGGTAGGGCCGGATTTCGAGATCTTGAGACTCGGAGGTTCGTAAGGGCTGGACTTGAAGGTTTGCCAGGGCCAAGTGGTGTTCTCGGCCACAGCAAGGGTAGCTTGGAGCCCACAAAGGGCGGCAAAGGCGGAAGAAAGATGCATGGCAGGATGGACTTCCCTGCAAGAGTGGACTACTGGTTCTTTTGTCCCCTGGATGTCTCAAACTCAAATATATGAACAGAATTGTTCGGAAATCCCCCGTGTTTAGCCGATGTCGGTCAGCCAAATTGCTCCCTGATGTGAGGGATTTAATATTTTCCAAGATTTACCTACGAGACGATACTCGGTTCCAGAGCACCGAAGAATTCAGATAGTTCAGATCCATGGATCCAGGGGATTTGCGGGCCATCTGATAAAAAATCCTTGATCAGATAAGATCGGCGGCTCCACATCTGTATTTCCATACGATACAATAGTGTGTTTATTATTACCTGTATTTCATGGTATCAGTAAAGTTACTAGTTAACGCCACCAGGGACTGATCAGCACTTTTCGAGTTGGTTCTCATATACGGAGTACCCCAACCCCACATGGATGCGCACAAAACTGCCCCTCGATTACGGAGTACTCCGGACTTCGCATTCCAGTATTCCGTGGTGGGATAGATTTCTACCGGAGTAGGAGTCATGGGGAAAGGCAGCACTACAATGTGGTAAAGAGTAAGTCTCCCCTTCCTGTTTTGTGCCGTCATTCCAAGATGCTTGGCTCGGTAGGAATAATTGATTGATAAAAGGTTCCAAGGTTTTAATTTGATTGATAAAAATGTTTTAGATTGATAAAATTTTTTCACAACAACTTGAATTCACCGAGAACACGCCAAGTCTTGGCTCTAACTCTATGTTCCGCTTAGGCCTCCGAGTAATTTCTGCGGTGGACTCCTTACCACCCCTGAGAAGGGATGACCAGTCTCTCGTCTGATGGTTTACCGGAAGAGGTCGGAGTTCTCGCTCATTCGGTAAGTTTAACTTCCGGGTCATATTTTACACACCGTGGGCTAGGAACATACGTAAATGCGATTAAGTGTTCGAGGAACATTAGAGATTCTCTTGGCGTCGAAAAATGAAAATATGTCATGGCATCCGGCATGTGGCCGATCGTGCCTTGCATTGATTGTCTAAGAAAGGTCCGTAGATATCTAAATGTAGTTTATACAGAGGAAGTCTTGCCCTCCGCCCATTCCTCGAACGTCATGTTTCCAGCAGATGTGGGCATTTTTGCCATGAGTGGTGCTCGAACCTCTTTGTCGACCCTGGTAATTTCGGGCTTGAACACGATTCCTTCCGAGAGAGTCTGGAAGCCAAGTTTTTTATACAAGGGAACTCCTTCCACAGTTGACTCAAGGTACACCGGCAAATTCAGCTGTTCTGCCACGTTCATCCCCCATTGCATAAGCTGTGCTCCGACGCCTTTACCCTGGTAGTCTGGATGCACTGCAACTGTGTGGCAGTCTATCGCGGGGTCAACATACGGCCATCATCAAAGGATCAGTAGCGACTCACAAACATGCTTCTTAGGCCCAATCCACTTCTCCCTCTTTTCCCAGAGCTGTTCCAAGAACCCTTCGGCACGCGCGCGCTGGTCACCCTCCAGCCATCCAATCCACGGCTTCTGGCGCTCTTCGGCAGTTCTTTCGCGCCAGTAGACTTGCCATGTTGCCATGCCGGCGATTTTACCGGTGTCGGTGTCAATGCATTGGAAAGTGTGCTCCGTGCTCAATCCTTTCCAATATTCAAGAGTTCCTTCGGTGTGGACTTTACGGAAAGCCTCATCGTTGATATCGGTTCCTGGGTAGATGAGGTCCAGGATCAATTGGCCTTTGAAAGCCGCAAACCAGACATCGTAGATGGCCCGGATATCGGGGAGAGTGGCGGGGACAACAACGAAGCCCATATTGAATATAAAAAAGAAAGTATAATCACTATTGAGGAATAGTTCAGAAAGAGTTGAAGAGAGTAGCAGTGTACCTACCTAGGCAGGTATGGTATTAAGAGCATGTGTATTCAAACAAATCATAACTTCTTGGCGCCAAGTGTCCCGAAGTCGGATCTGATAAGACAAGGTTTCATTAAACTTACATACCTGCGTAATTGGGACCGTATTTTCTCCGGGTATTGAGACATTCAACCTGTTGATCAGTTGCTCGGGTGGAATTGCCGGCTCCTAGTTTGACTTCTTTTCTTTTTCCCATCCCAACTCCCCCCGATTATTACCAAAAGCCCATACCGATCGCCGCCATGCCTGGTCTCGAAGAACAGCCGCCATTCAAGGTTCTCATTGTCGGAGGGTCTTATTCCGGGTTGGCCGCAACTCTGAACCTGATTGATCTGTGTCATGGGCGGAAATGTCGATTCAACCTGGATGAGAAAGAGCAGGGCCCCGCGCACACGATTCCTGTGCAAGTTACCATCGTGGATGAGCGCGATGGCTATTGTATGTGATCTTGCTCATGGAATTTGGAAGTATGTCACTGACAGTGATTATTTTAGACCATCTGATCGGTCTGCCTCTGGCTATGGCTTCCAATGCCGATGCGAGCACATTCTGGAAAAAGTTCGACGATATTCCCGCCCTCCAGTCCCCGGATATCAATCACATTCAAGGACGAGTAGACTCGATAGACTGCAAGTCCCGGATCGCGCGCATCCGCCAGAATACTGCGAATGATGGGCACAAGATTATCGAAGAAAAATACGACTTTATGGTCGCGTGCTCGGGCTTGCGACGAGAGTGGCCTAGTGCGCCCAAGTCTTTGACTCGGGAGGCATATCTTGCCGAAACAGCAGAATCTGTGCAGACTATCGAAGAAGCTTCAGCAGGTGTTGTTGTTATTGGAGGCGGTATGTGGCATTCTCTTCTTGCACTTGAGTTATACTAATTGGTTTGTTGCAGGTGCTGTTGGTATCGAGATCGCCGCCGAGATCAAGATGGTCCAACCCGAGGCAAAGGTGACCCTCGTTCACTCTCGGCAACAGCTTCTCTCCTCCGAGGACCTTCCCGATGAGTTCAAAGACAAGACACTTGAAATGCTCAAAGAGTCCGGGGTCGAAGTGGTGATGGGTGCACGCGTCCAGGACACAGTTCGCGGTGACGAGTCCGCTCCGGCGAAGTACATGCTCAAGCTCTCAGATGGCCGGGAGCTCGCTGCCGATCATGTAATCAACGCCGTGTCACGGTTCGCACCAACATCCTCATATCTTCCCAAGGAAGCCTGTGATGCCGAGGGATATGTCCGTATCACGCCCGGTCTTCAATTTTCCGCAGATGTTCCGAACAAGAAATATCACTACGCTGCTGGTGATATTGTCGCCTGGTCTGGTATTAAGCGTGGTGGTCAGGCGATGCACCAGGCGCATTTCGCAGTTTTCAACATCCACCAGCAGATGTTGGCAGAGCGGTACAACACGGAACCCAAGTTTGTCGAGTTGGTTGAGGTAGCTCCAATGATGGCTTTGGCTCTTGGAAAAACTGCTGTTGGGTACTTCCCAGCTATGGGACTGTCCTCGGGCGACGAGATCCGGAATATGTTCTTCAATGATGATCTAGGATATGAAAGTAAGTTGACGAGCTCCCGCCAGATTGATTGAGCTAACAAAAGCAGTCTGTTGGAAATGGATGCGTTTGGGAGAAAGCAACCGAGTAAATGTTCCAAGTTGATAGAAAAGTCATGAAACGATATGTATTTATGTAGTACGAGATGTCTATCATAGAAGAATGAGATTAAACAATATATATCTATATCGAAAACAGAAGGGAAAAAAAAGCCAGCTATGTACTTTTGTCTATGGAAGAACATTTATCCATCCACTGTCTGGTTCAGGGCATTGACCCTGTAAGTCTCACTCCGCTCGATCAGTTGGGCGTGAGTGCCTTGCTCAACACAACGGCCATCCTCAATCAAGAAAATGACATCCGCCTTGCGGATCGTGTACAAACGATGAGCAATCGCTATCACAGTCATGTTTTTGGCTGCCTTCTCCAACCCATCCTGAAGCAGTCGCTCAGACTCCGCATCCAAAGCACTGGTCGACTCGTCTCAGGAGCAACAGCTTTGGCTTTCTAATCAGCGCCCGCGCGATAGCCAATCGCTGCTTCTGACCTCCGGAGAGACGATCACCATTTGGCCCGCAGTGTGTATCGTATCCCTCGGGAAGCTGCGCAATGACGTCGTGGATATTGGCTAATTTGCATGCTTCTTCCAACTCGTCTTGCGTAACTTCGTGACCAGGTCGTGCGCCAAGAGCAAGATTGAAGCGAATAGTTCCTTCAAACATAACGCTCTGCTGTGGTACGTATGCAATGTTGTCACGGAATGAGATATCACCGTAGGCAACGTCTCGGCCGTCAACATGGATGGTACCGGATTCAGGGGAGTAGAGGCGCTCAACAAGTGAAATGATGGTCGATTTTCCAGCACCACTGGGTCCGACCAAAGCGGCAAACTGGCCTGGCTTGACGTCTATATCCAAACCATGAAGCACGCGGGTGTCTGGGCGTGCGGGATACGCAAAGTGGACTTGCTTGAGGGAGACACTGATGCCATTGCGAGTGTCATCGACCTTCTCGCGGGCGTTTGCCGTGGATTCGACATCGCTCGTAGACTGCAAAAGCTTGCTAGGCAGGAGTTCGATAGGGGCTGACAGTTTCTTCGTGGTGCCCAGGTCTAGCAGATTCAACAACCGGCGCGTGGCCTGGAAGGCACGCGAGACATCAGGGGCCAGGGCAAACATCTGTCCCCACAGCTGTGAGCTGACGAGCAGCGCTAGCTGGACGATGAAGAACTGTGTCTGACTATAATATCCTGCAATGATGTTTTTCGCTCCCCACCAGTATGCCAGGCCATATAAGAAGTTGCTGAGACCGTATCCGATGGCAAGCCAGATATTGGCCCAGGCACTTTGGCGGGTGATTTCCCTCATGGGTGCCGCTAATGAGCGACGGTATGTTCCCATAATCTCGTCTTCCACGGAGAGAGACATGACGGTCTTGATCGAGTTGACAGCCTCCACTGTAATTCCCACTGACCGAGCAAAAGCCTCCAGGTGGCGCTCTTCAAACTGTGCCAGTGAGGTAACTCGCATCCAGCCAGCAGCCAGCAGCAAAGGTACCACAGCAAGGCAGACGATGGCGATGCGCCACGCGATAATGTGCGACATGATGATGGCAGCGAATAGGTTGATGAGAATAGACAAAATTGTGCAAACCACGGAGCCCGTCAGGCCTGCAAGAGCATTACTGTCCTTAGTGATCAAGGAAAGCAGCAATGAAGGGTTGCGGTCGTTGGATTCATGCCATTGGAGATCCTGCTCAAGGATGGCTCGGAGTGAAAGAACTCGCACTTTGTAAATAACATTCTCTGCCATCCAACCGAAGAGAGACCAGCTGAAGAAGTTTGCAAAGAATTCAATGATGGCGAGGACAAAGAACATGAGACCGTAGAATTCTCCAGCGTCGCGGATATTCTGAGGCTCCTCACAGCCACTCAGTTTACCCACGACATTACCAAAGATGACTGCCGAAGCGCAGTATGTGCCGCCGATGACAACAGCGCCAGTCACTGCGAGAACCAGAACAAATGAATACGGTCGGAACATAGAGCCCAGGGAGCCGACTGTTGAGGCAAATGACCTGTTTGTGTCGACAACACCGCCGGTTTCTTTGGGCTTGGACTCTTGGGTAGCAGGGGTATCGACCGTATCTTCTTTATCGGGGACATCATCAGTCACGGAAAGATTGGGTTCGACCTTTTCTGTGATTTGAGTCACAGGCGATGCCGATCGAGTGGATGTTCCCTCTTGAGAATTGTCGACATTAAGGTTCTGAAGGCGAATCAGCTCTGCGTAGGCACCATTGGCTGCCAGTAGCTCGGTATGAGTGCCTTGTTCAACAAGCTTTCCTTGTCTCATGACGATGATGTTATCCGCATTCCTGATGGTAGATAGACGGTGCGCAATGGTAATAACAGTCCGGCCCACGGCCACACTCTCTAAGGCTCTTTGGATGCGCATTTCTGTCGCGGAGTCCAAGGATGCTGTGGCCTCGTCGAGAATGAGAATCCGCGGATCTTTCACCAAGGCTCGGGCCAAAGAGATACGCTGCTTCTGTCCGCCACTGATTAGGTTCCCGCTGGAACCAACCGAAGTACCGTAGCCTTCTTGAAGCTTCTCAATAAACACGTTGGCATCAGCGAGCTTTGTGGCACTTTCGACCAAGTCCACCACCTCTCGCGCCTGGTCACCGTGTTCTAGAGCGGCGACCGAGAGGGCCTGGCCCTCCCTCACAGCGGCAGCAATTTCAATCAGCGCGGTGCCAGTCAGGATCGGTTGAAGATGAGCGTGTGCAGGGGAATTGATCAGGCCTAAGGCAATGTTCTCAAAGATTGATCGATCAAGAAGACATGGCTCTTGTTGGACAAGACTGATATGGCTCCTCAATGCACGCACATTCAGATCTTTGACATCATGTCCATCCAACATAACAGTTCCCTCGGTAGCATCGTAGAATCTTGTTGCTAAGCCGGCAACAGTAGACTTTCCACTTCCGGACAAGCCGACGATGGCAGTCTGTTTACCGGCAGGGCAGGAAAGCGACAGGTTTTGAAGGACTGGCTTATCTGGGCGGGAAGGGAAACAGAACGAAACATCGCGCAACTCCACATGGCCCTTGACCTCGGGCAATACTTCTCCAACATCCTTCGAAGTGCCATCAATTGCGGACGAGTGGTCGATATCAGCCTTCAATTTTGTGAAGGCAACCGAGGCGGCGTCGAAGCTTTGGATGAAAGGTGCCACTGTACTCAGGATCAAGGACGCTGAGAGATAGAGATAGTCAGCGATAGGTCAAATCAAAACATGAATATAAATACTTACCATCCACAAGAATAAAGATCACGGTGTATGTTGCTCCGACTGTCATGCCGCTATCATTGGACTCTACAGAATCCGCAATCTTCGTAGAGCCCTGCCAGAAGGCCAATGCATTGGCCGAGAAAGCAATAAAGTAAAGCAAACCGGCCTGAGTGGCTGTGGCAATTGACTTGCGAATTCCGGCAATCCTTCCAGGGTTCAAAAACTCGATGAACTTCTCCTCAAGCCGCGCGTTGGCCGAAAAAGCATGAACCACCATAGTGTTGGAAAATGCTTCCAGTGCAACTGAGGATGCCTTGGTCATGCTCTCCAGTGCGCGACCAAAATACTTTTGCACAAAATACCCTCCCAACAGAGACATGATCAAGTAAGCAGGAGTCAGGGAGACCAACATTCCAGCCAACTCGGGATCCTTGATGAAAGCCACGACGTACGCGGTGACGAAGAAGGCCAGACTGTTGATCACAATGCCGACCTTTTCGGACGTTCCTTGTTGCACGGTGGTGATGTCACCTGTAATTCTTGAAGACGCCTCGCCAGCCGGGAGGTTGTCGAAGAAGGCCACATCCTGGCGGAGGAGGGCTTTGAAATATTTCTCGCGCAGACGCTGAGCCAATCTCTCGCCAGTCAGATTCCAACTAAACACATAAATATAGATCAAAAAGAGGTAGGCGATGCCGATGTAGACAATCATCAAGACTTTCTCGTTAATACCAGCTTGGTATGCGTCGCCATTGCTGTCGTTGACATTGCAGGTCGTCGAGTTCATTTGATCCACCAATTGACCGAACACAATTGACATGATCGGAAAAGGTATTCCGGAGGCAATTGCGGAGACAAGGCCGAGCACAAGGAGTGCGATATCTGATCTGCTGGGTTCGCCATAGACAAACAGGCGGAAGAAGACAGCTCTGTCCCTCCACTTTGACGAATTAGCTTAAGAACCCCTAAGGATGTAGGAGAAACATACGCTGCGCTTCTGCGCTGGTGCATCTTCGGCCATAGTAAAAATTATCTATGGGCGTGAACAGATGAGAAGGAAGATCATTTTGTTATTTTATCCCAAAGCTAAAAGAGAAATCCAAGAGCTCCACTCGCATGACTTACCAAGAATTTTACCGTGAAAAGCCGACGTCGGACAATACGTAAGATTGGACTCCTTATCAGATCGACTAGTAAGTAAAACCGCCAAGAGCCAAGGATGTAAGAATGTAAGAATGGATGTATTTTTGATGGTATTTTTCGTTTTGGTCTTGGAGGGTCTTGGGGGTGGGCCTACGGTTGGGCTTGGACCCGAGAATGGTCATACTATACGCTCCGAGCAAATTTACCAATTTCCAATGACGATGATCTATCTCAATTGTGTGTCTTTTGTTCCGACATGGCGCACCTCAGGGACAGCTCGGTTATTGCGGATATTTTACTTTTTAGGGCAAATTGGGGTCAATACCACTACCAAACTCAAAACACCGGACGCATCCCGAATCTGATTAGATTACATATGTACGCTTGGTCCTCGTGAAGAAATTTTCCTTGGCATTGCTGGAGAGGTTTAATATACCCGAGGTTTTTCTCCCAGACGATCATAACATATGCATATGCACAATACAATCACATCATATTTCACATTTTGTAACTAGTTTTACAACTTCAATGAGCGGAAGGGATTGCGGTCGAGAGTGTCAGACCCGTCAAATCGCAGCGGCGCCACATGGAAAAACTTCTCCCTGCTACCAAGAATGAGCGCCGACCGTTTATGTGGCAGATCAACCAGCTTGGCCAGGTTCATGCCCGTAGCGTGGTCGTAGGTCAAAGGAGCCAGGTTTGAGTATTTGGGCTCTCCAGTCACATACTCCGTACGGGGATCATCCAGGAAGATGTAATGCATCAATCCAGACCACCACGCAATGGTGCGGTGCGGGCCTCGGAAACGCTCATCACCGACTAGCGAATGGCGGCCCCTGTCCCAGTCACCAGCATCGTAGTACGCACCGAGATGGTCCTCCTGTGATTTAAATTAGCCATGGTCAGGTTACCGGGAACAAATAGAAACCATACCTTCGCCCAATATATCTCATGATAGGAAAAGAAAGTGTCGTTGAACTTGGCTAGCACAGCGATCTGGTGCGGATCCTCCTGGATTTTGCGCAAGTATTCGCGGTGTTGCTCCAAAGTTCCAGTTTCGTTCCACCCCTGAGCGACTCGAGGGTCATTCTGCCACTTATTGAACAGCCCCAGGTGTTCCTCGTTTGTGTAGTCAAGCGCATAGACTGAGAAAAACTCGTCCAAGTGTGGAATGTAGCGACTGTAGATGCGAGAGCCGGGGGATGGTTTAGGTGGTCGTACCGGGTGAAGGGCGTGCACTCGACGCTCGGGGAAACCAGTGGTGACGGTGTGTTGGCGTGGTCGGCAAGGGTATTCACTCAACGGCTTGCGCATATAGCTGTAAATCCCCGGGTCGGACACCCACGCTGGACGGGTGCCAAAAGGTGAGCCAGCTCCTTGCCAGAAGCTACTGCGGGAAAAGACAAGCTGTCCGAGGTGGTTAGTGGTGGTTGGGATGGGCTTTCCTGGCGCAGCAGATGGCTCGGGATGCGCGATGGCCAATCCCACGCCTTCTAGCTCGCGTGCAAGTATCTCACTCCCAGTACCAGACAGCACACCACGGAATATCTCGAACTCGCTTCGCAGGGTCTCAATAGCATACACCACATTCCAGACCTGGCCCACCGTCGGCGTGTCCGACCCTTCCCATGTAATATAGGTAACTGGACTTCTCTGTGCACGTGCCCAGGGTGAGTTGTTTCCTTCCTCTGGAGTGGAAGAAGGGTTGGGTTGGGCCAAATCTGTGAACTTCAACGACGCGTGGTCCAATGGCTTTGGGGGTGGTATGCCTTCATCTCCGCGAGGAGCTCTCAGCAGCTGGAACTTGCGGAGATTCCGGTCGGTAGATACGACGTGCAATTCATAAGTTGTCTTGTACGGCTCCGGTAGCCGCACCAGGGGGAGAGTACTCGAAGACATGACTATGATGATGATGATGCTACCAACTCGGAACAGGAGCACGAAGGAATAAGTAACCAGTTATGCAACGTCGGCATGGACCACCTTATCCTCGGTATACTCCGGCTCGGGGGATTTGTTTACGATGTTAGGAATTGATCATCCTTGTCTGTGTCCACCAGGCAGCGGTCCACTAGGCATAGGAATCAGGAAACAGATACCTTGGCTGCAACCAAAGACCATCCGTGTAAGTACGCTGCTTGGCGCAGACTAGTAACGACAGGGGGAGTCAATCCAGGTCCCATACATGTTTGAGACGAGAGTTTCCAAGGTTCGTAACAATCACCAACGTAATCAATCTGCGGATATCCGATGTCGCAGCCAATCTAATCAATCTTTCAGTCGGAAACTTGCGAATCTCCGAAAAAGGTAACGTTGAAGAGGATGATCATGATAATGACGACAGTAACCTCCCAAACAACTCTCGGAAATTTCGAATATGACTGTCAGAGCTCTGATCGGCGCTCTACATTAAGTTTTTAGCGCCTGGGTCCAGGTGGCAGTGCTTAGCGTTCGATCTTGGCGGGTCTTGGCGGGTCTTGGGACCCTGTTGTATTGGTATGGCTCGGTATGTATGGTATGTATGGTAATGTACGTTATAACCATACAGATATCCCCCACTACAGGTATACAACGTATTTGGTTCAAGTATACGGATCCATTGCAACATTGGCAATGAGGTCTCGGCACCTGCTCGGATTGTTTCTGCCCGTTGTGGCTCTTGCAAGATGCCAAGTCCGTCACTGACGATCTGCATCAGATAATTTAATCAGATCGTTGCTTCATAGTCCCCGCGCCCTAGAGACACTTTCCTTAATACTACTTTTTCCCAAGAACATGGGTGAATACGTCGAGCCCAGTGCGTCCCCTTGGGTGGGCGAGGAGTTGACAAAGCCAAATGATGCTGGCTGGTCCGACTGTATGACCCTGCCCACTCTTTCGGATATAAAACACGAGGAAATTATTGCTCTGGCTTGGGTCCTCCTTCTCTTTCGCGGGACAGTGCACAGTGAGGATGGAGGCTTTTCCTGGTTGAAAGAGGGCAGTCTCCAGGGAGGTCCCATCTCCGATGTGATTGAGGGGGAAGGCAGCTCGCTGCGATCTGCTTTGGAAGCTATCCGAAGGCGGGGTCAATTTGACGGGGAATTTTCGGACACACTCTTGTTTCGAAATGCCTCCCTTGAGAATGAAGTAAGTAGATCCAAACTCATGGCTAGCACCAGTTTTTAACTCGATTAGTGGACGTTTGCGCTAGAAGCAAAGCTCGCGCATGGTGTTGTGCATGTTCGCGGAACTCCTCAGTCCCCGACAGCCACGCAGCCTGTCGAAGCGGTCCTACCTCATATCCTCGCCGACATCATTCTTTCAATTGCCAATAACCTCGATCAGTCTGTTGCCGAGGCCGTCCGCATTGGACGACAAGAGCTGTCACAATTATGGAAGTGGAACGGGACAATGCCCCCCACCATCGACCAATGCATCCAAGATATAATCAGTGAACAAGCGCAAAGTCGACTCGATCGTCCCGCAGTTGTGTCCTGGGATGGAGAGATGACCTATAGACAGCTAGAAGAGCGCTCAACAAATCTGGCTAGACACCTTGTTGATCTGGGACTGCAAATTGGCAAGGCTGTTCCGCTCTGCTTTGAAAAGTCCATGTGGACAATTGTTGGTGTCCTCGCAGTCATGAAGGCTGGCGGTGCGCTGGTTCTCATGGATCCCAGCCAGCCAGAGGGACGACTGAGCACCATCGCCAGCGAGGTTGAGGCTGGTTTTATCTTGACCTCGGAGGCGCAGGCGGCACTAGGTGCGCGCATTGTCCCGGGAGGAAAGCAAGTTATTGTTGGCCCACTGAACGATGAGGCCGAATTTAAATCGCTCTCTGTGGACCTACCTGTGGTCCCAGCGTCGTCAACTCTTTACATCCAGTTCACCTCCGGCAGTACTGGCAAGCCCAAGGGTGTGGTCATCTCTCACTCCAACTATACTAGCGGTGCACTACCTCGCGCCGAGGCAGTCGGATACAAAGAACACTCGCGAGTGCTTGACTTCCCCTCGTACGCATTCGACGTCAGCGTTGACTGTATGCTGTGCACTTTGGCCAACGGAGGTTGCATTTGTGTGCCCTCAGAAGACCAGCGAGTCAACGATCTCAGTGGCGCTATTCGTAAGCTGAACGTGAACATGGCACACATGACGCCATCGGTCGCGCGTGTCTTGGCGCCTGATATAATGCCCTCGTTGGAGGTCATCGGCCTTGGTGGCGAGGCAATCTCCGCTAGTGATGCGGCCGAATGGGGCCAGAAGACGAAAATCGTGATCGCATATGGCCCATCAGAGTGCACTGTTGGCTGCACAATCAATAATGACATCCCTCCTGGTCGATCGTACACTAGTATCGGACAGGGAGTCGGAGGCACGACATGGGTGGTAGATCCATCCAATCATGACCGATTGATGCCTATCGGCACTGTGGGAGAACTTCTTATCGAAGGCCCCGTGGTCGGTGATGGATATCTCAATAATCCAGAGAAAACCGCCGAGGTCTTCATCGAGGACCCAGCATGGCTGGTTGAGGGTGGGGGAATGTACCAGGTCGCAAGGGCCGTCTCTACAAGACTGGTGACCTGGTAAATATGACCCCGATGCCTCGGGTAGTGTTGTTTTCATCGGCCGTGCCGATCAACAAGTGAAGCTGCGCGGTCAGCGCGTGGAACTGGGAGAAATTGAGCACCACGTCCGAAATTATTTCCCCGCTGGAGCAAGTGTTGCAGCGGAAGTGATCTTCCCCGGAGGAAAGAAAGCTGATGCCACACTGATTGTCTTCGTGGCGGAGGAAAAGAGTGAAACGACGGGCACAACCAGCGAGATCACCTCATTTTCGAGTTCATTCCAAAAGCTGATCGCTGGTATTGACGATGTTCTTGCGACAAACCTGCCCCGGTATATGATCCCCGCCGCATATATCCCACTCAATCAGATGCCACTCCTGGTGTCGCTCAAGACAGACCGGAAGCAGCTGCGGGCTCTCGGGAATGACTTGACAAGGAGACATATTGCAGAGTTTAGATCGTCCACCGTTGTCAAAATAGCACCCCGGACAGAGATGGAGCGTAAGCTTCACGGCCTGTGGTTGAAACTATTTGGTGATGAAACAGATATCGGAGTCAATGACCACTTCTTCAGCCTCGGCGGTGACTCGTTGAAAGCCATGAGGTTGGTGGCTGCTGCACGAGAGCAGTCTCTTGCTATTCAAGTCACTGATATTTTCCAATCACCTATCCTCGAGAACCTGGCCCTCAGAGTGAAAGAGGTGGAGAACAAAGGTCCACTGGATGTTCCCCCATTTTCGCTGCTTCCAGCAAGTTGGGAGGCCGATGCTGCACGGGTCGAAGCGGCTTCGTTGTGCAACTTGGATCCTAGCGAGGTTGAAGATGTGTATCCCTGTACACCTCTCCAAGAAGCTCTCATGGCCCTCTCCGCTAAGTATACGGATGCCTATGTCGCGCAGAGAGTCATTGAACTTCAGGATATTCAAACCGCCAAACGACTCAAATCTGCTTTTGAGCAAGTCTCAGCAGAATGTGCGATCCTGCGGACAAGAATTGCCCAAGTTCCACGCCGCGGTCTCATGCAGATCGTCGTACAGGCAAACACTCCATGGCTCAACAGCTCCAACTTGGCAGAGTATCTGAGTAGCGACACACTCAAGGGGATGTCTCTGGGCACTGAGCTTGCTCGTTTTGCTATTGTGGACGACGAGACATCTGGCAAAACCTACATCGTCCTGAGCATTCACCATGCACTTTACGATGGTTGGTCAATGCCTTTGGTAGTTGACCGAGTGAATCGCGCCTACCGCGGTGAGAGTATTGGCAGCCCAGCACCGTTCAAGAACTTCATCAAGTGGCTTGGTGAAACCGACCGATCCTCCACGGAGAAATTTTGGGAAACTCAACTCGAGGGCGCTACATCGCTGCAATTCCCTCCCATTCCATACACTGGGTATCAGGCGCGTGCCGATTCTCTGCTAGAACATTACGTCAATCTGCCCCGGGCTTCTTCGAGCTCCACAACGAGCATCGCGACCGCTATTCGAGGTGCTTGGGGTCTGTTGGCCGCGCATTACACATCTTCTGATGACATCGTATTTGGAGAGACCATGACCGGTCGCACAGCTCCCGTGGCAGCTGTAGAGGAGATCGAGGGCCCGATGATCACCACTGTCCCGGTTCGAGTTTGCATCGATCGCAAGGCTCGAGCATCAAGCTACCTCCAGCAGATCCATGATCAAACAGTTGATCGCATTCCTCACGAACACATGGGTCTGCAGCACATTCGACGCCTGAACGCCGATGCTCGAGAGGCCTGTGAATTGCGCACAGGTATTGTAATTCATCCGACGATTGAGGAAGTCGAGCCCTCTTCGAAAGAAGAGCCAGCCACCGCATTTGTTCCAACCAGCGAGGCAGAGGCCGCTCGTGAAGCGTTGAAATTCAACTCATACGCCCTTATGCTTGTCTTCACCGTTGATACAAAGGGCTTCCTTGTCATGGCCAGCTTCGATTCAAAGACCATCGATATCCCTCAGATGGATCAAGCGCTTAAACAATTTGATCGGCTGGTGCAGCAGATTCTCGAGGATCCGACCCAGAAAATCCAGCACATCTTCGATTCCACAATTGAGACGGATGTTACAGAGCAATGCCGTCTGGCCAAGATTGGTCCAGCCAGCCTCCCTACTGAGGAGGTTTACTCGGCTGCCACATCTACTTGGATCGTTAACCCAAATGACCATGAGTGTCTTGTACCACCTGGTGGAGTGGGTGAGCTGCTTGTGGAAAGAGAAGGTGAAGTGGCTTCCGGCAACCCAGTTGCCAATCCAACCTGGTGCAAGCAACCGACGAAGCTGTACACGACAAACCAGCTGGCGAAGTATACCAATGATGGCTCTGTTATCATCCTTCGTGCGAAGGACGCACAGATTGGTCAGCTCCAACCCCGAAACAAAAAGCTTAATGGTGGTGCAGCCATAACGACGGTCACGCAGCAAAAGCTCCAACGTGTCTGGAGCCAGGTCTTGGATATCCCCTGCGAGGATATCCTTTTGGATGACAGCTTCTTCGATTTGGGAGGTGACTCCATTCGTGCTATGAAGTTGGTCTCGGAGGCCCGTATGGATGGCCTTCAGCTAACTGTAACTACGATCTTTGATCACCGGTCTCTGTTTGACATGGCCGAACACGCAGTGGAGGCCCAGCCAGCCGTCGCCACGGCTCAGGATTATGCACCATTCAGCTCACTCAACGTGACCGACGTAGATGCATTCATCAACAAGATGACCCCATTGCTTGCTCAGCCTGATTGGAAGATCGTGGATGCATATCCAAGTCGCCCGCTTCAGGAGATCGCAGTCCAAGGAACTGTCCAGCTGCCTCGGTACTCTATGCGATACGAACTTTTCTACATGGACACCGAGGTGGACCGCACTCAGTTGTTCCAAAGTTGCCAGGAACTTGTTTCTCGGAATGAAATCCTTCGAACTGTGTTCGTGGAACACGAGGGTGTCTCATTGGGAGTGGTTGTCGATAACCTTCCCTGCCAGTTCGTCGAATACGAGATTGAAAGTGATGTGGAAAAGTTCAGCCAGAAACTCTGCGACGTTGATGTCCAGTCACGCATTCCTCTCGGATCACCATTCTTGAAATTCCTCTTCGTTCGGCACGTTGACGGGCCCAGCAGCCTGATCATGCGCATCTCCCACGCCCAATACGACGAGATCTGTCTTCCGATTCTGCTGCAGCAGCTATCGGCATTGTATGAGGGACGACCAGTGCCGAAGAGTCTGCCATTCTCGTCGTACGTCGGCCATGTGACTCGCACTAATCTGCCAGCCAGCATCCCGTACTGGCGTGATCTCCTTCAAGGGTCATCTATGACACGGATCCAGCCCGATATCCCTGTCGTATCTGCCGCTCACTTCGCCATCTCCAAGGATGTCAATATAGCCGCGCGACCACGGGAGATCACAGTCGCAACCCTCCCTACGGCGGCTTGGGCGCTGTGTCTTGCGCGACGCCTCTCCCTTGACGATGTCACTTTCGGCGAGGTGGTGAGTGGTCGCAACATTGACCTCCCCAACGCTGACTCGATTGTTGGACCATCGTGGCAGTATGTACCGGTGCGGGTGAAGTTTGGAAAGGAATGGACAGCCATGGATCTTTTGCAGCTTGTCCAGCGACAACATCTTGAGAGCGCTCAGTACGAAGGAATCGGTCTGAAGGAAATTGTCAAGGACTGCACTGACTGGCCGGAGACGGTTGATTGGTTTGATTCGGTCGTGCACCAGGACGTTGAGCACGTTGAGGACCTATCTTTCATGGCGGCCAGTAGCCGTATGCAGACTATCTACCCGCATTTCGAGCCATTGCGGGAGATCAAGGTGCAGGCATTCCCCAAGGGGGGACTCTGTGCATCGAAATTGTCACTGTTGAGTCGTGGTCGGACTTTGCTGTGTCTTTGTTGGATGAGATGATCGACACTGTTGGGCAGTTGGTGAATCAGGTCGATTCCAGGATTTTATAGATGGGGTATCTTCCTTTGGTTACTAGATTTTAGATTCCTTTATTCCTATTTGTTAATTACAAAGTTTTGGACTTGATTTAGTTGGGAAAATGCAGTACTTCAGTGAAGAGTTGATACATCATGCTTCGAGAGGTTCAATAGAATGAGTGCACTAATTGGGTGAATGGTCTGGGTCACTCATCTTGGTGTAAGGTGTATTTAAGCTAACATATTATATAATTTTAGCACTACGTTAGCTTTCTTATATCAGTTAGATCCAAAATGGTAGAGTCGTACTGTCTCGCAAGTGATAAGGTACGTATGTAGCCCTAGTTGATCAGACAGGCACTCCAAGCCCCAGCCGACCTCACGAACCTTCACCTTGGTAGATCCCAAGAACATATCTATGAACACAAGGTTATAGGCTGTAAAACTCGCATTTTCCGTGTCAGAATTGTAGAGACCAAGTCCAGATCCGCCCCAAGATAAAGACAAAAAAAAGTCCAGTTTGATTGCAAAATAAATCTACCAAGAGACGCCGTCAATATAAGACCTGAGCAATGGATGCTAAGGCTGAGGTAATGGCCTAAGGCCTACTCTTGGACTCGTCGCTTCCTCCAAGTCAAGAAGACAACATAAAACTTCTCCGTATCTGCGTCGACCTGAGGGTTCCCAATATTGATGTCGCTATTTGTGCCCATGTCAGACCGAGGATCAAATGGCAACAAAGCCGGGGCCGCAGGAATCGGCTCCTGTTCCTGCCCAGATTCAGATTCCGACCCGGCCTCAGTATCAACCGGCCGTGCAGGCCTCTGCCTTTGCAGCTCCGCCTCTTTGGCCCCAATCCAAGTATATGCTCTCTTTGACGTGGGTTCAGCGACCAGATACAAGCCCTTGTCAGCCTGCATGGGAAACTTCCACTCGAGAGCCTGTTGTGTGATGGCATCTAGCTGGTCCCTCTTCCGCATGATCGTCTCAAACTCGATTACCAGTTCCTCCAGACAGGGAAGAGAGCTGAATTGGTTCCCCCACGACCGAGCTGCGGCGTGTGGAGAAACGGCCTTGCCCATATCGGCTGCGTGAGTTCTCCCGGGTCGGAACGGATCGATGCCCAGGGGATCATTGTTCTCCCAGTACCACCAGTCCGTGTGGCGAAACGTGATGGTCATCTTCTTCGGCGCGATCCTGCACTCCCCTCGCGAACTGCGTCCGTCATCGCCTATTTTGAGCCCGTCCCATATCTGTGACCAATGATTGTCCTCTAGGAAATACTGCTGGGTGAACAAATGTAGATGCTGTACCTGAGCCCGCTGCTTCGGGGTCATCTTGCGAAAATAATTCACCGGCGACGAGGCATCGTTGACATGCGGTGGAGATCGATAGAACCAGAAAGTATGCTCGTTTACTGCCGGTGGGAGGAGGGACGCCTCGGCGTAGACTTGCTGACATGTCTGGAGGAGGGCAGTCTGGATGCGCTTAGGCTGCTTGTAGCCGGGCCGGTAGTAGAAAGCGTTTTGCTTATAGAGGGAGCGAGAACTGTCGTCTGTGAGAACATCCTCGGACTCAAGCGCAAGCGTATAAATTCGATTGCGGATCTCGGCGGGCAAGACAGTAAATAAGGGGGATGTCAATGGGGCTGCAGGTAGAGATGGGACAAGGTCCTGGAGGGTCTCCGATCTCACAACATGACGCTTTTTTAGTCGACTCGAATGCATATTGTGCGTAGAGGTATTAGCACCTAGGTATGTAGAGGAGGATAACTTCTGATTTATATATACACCATAGGAAAATCCCCGCCTGAGCTGGATGGTTCAGCTTTCGCCTTTTTAGCCCGCAAACGCCTGAGGTAACACTTCATTTGCCACCTGAACAAAAAAAAAAGCAATGAGCTTGTTTCGATTGGGAAACGTACTGGGTGGTCTCATGGGTGCCTAGAAATGTGTCAGAGCTGAGCCGCAATGTCTCCAGGATTTATATTAGGCAGTCGCTGTCAAAAGAAGCTATCCGGACTAATTTCCGCAATTGGACCGGTGCCATTTTTCCACTTCACTTCGAACGTCGAATATTTTGTTTCTTTACTTCAATTGGAAGGGGAAGCTCTTCCTGGCGAACAAGGCAGACATCACGGGATTATCGCCTGATCCTTGAGGCATAAAGAGTAACCACGTGACCATTCTCGCAGTAGTGAACCGTACTAAGCCTAATATGGTAACATATTCAATTCCAAGGTTTCCCTGCTGTCTACAGAATTCAACTTTGCCCTGACTTCCATGTCGTGATGGCTTCAGTCTAGTACTGGTATATCATTTGTATTGCCTTCATATTTCACTCTTTTATGTCCGGTTTCTCGCAGAATCTCCTTGGTTTTTTCTGGGGGATGACACCCTGACCACATCACGCCGGCCAACCCAACGAGCAGCTGAGTGCACGACTAGAGCCCAACACGACGCAGTCTTAAACCCCAAGCTGAACTCGACTCGAAATCATATGACATGTTGACTGGGAGCGAGCCAGTATTTGCCTAGCTTACATTAAACGCAAGCGCGAGATACAATATATGATCCGAGATTTAACGGACGGTGACAGGCTCTTCTACTCATGTCCCTACGACTGAAGTGGCACTGAAGCATCCAAAACTGCGGAAACCAAGGTAAAAGGAAAACGCAAGTAGGGGAAAGAGAACGGATCTCTCCTTGGGATTCATCTCGCTTGCTAAGCGGATATCAACGAACCTGCTCTTGATGGAATTACACTGCTTCATCTCACGGTCTCAAAAGGCCTAGCCGCCAATATTCGAGCCAGAGAGCTGCTTTTGAAAGACGTGAATGCAAGAACAATCAGGACCAAGGGTAATACAATGAGAACTGGGACGAGCACATAGAGGCCAACAAATGCGAAGAGGGTGGTATGGATAACGTACTTTACAACAGACAGAGGCGGGCGATGACTCTTCTTGATTTCGAGACTGCAGTGGAAGTTGAAGGCATACCCACGTTCCTACTATGTACCTCGTACACTTCTAAAGGTTTTGGATATGAAAGAGTGATGGCGAGGCATCGCACGAAATTGCACGTACACGGGTTAAGAGTCAATAGATTCTATTAAACTTTTTCATTGATGGACCTGACTCTGGTATAAACAAAGAGACGAAGATCTCATAAATAGCTAAAATTAAAGACCGGAATGTAGGTCGTATCGTATGTCGTGGCTGGCTCAGAATAAAAGGAAAAAGGCAAAATACATCATTTTTCATGAATCATGAATCGAAGATTGGCCCGTAGGCTGGAATCCCTTGTGATTCAAACTCGTACACAATATTTTGAGTCATCTTGGGGTTGCTGATCACAAAGACAGCCTCCGCTTGGAATTCCTTGACTTGCTGTCGCACGACGGGAAGCATGTCAACACGGCCATCACGACTGGTATCGAAGATAATCGGGTCCGGACCCATCTGATGGACGAGATCAAGAACGTCCTGGCCATAAGTCTTGAGCGGGTCACGTGTTTGCCAAATGACCTTGATCAAGGGCCGCTTTTTGTCGCCTAGGAATCCGAGACAGGGTCCTATTCCGGACCCAGTAGTGACTATGATAATGCGATTGAACATACGTAGACCGTATCCGACGCCACGCATCAGCGACCCTCGCTTCCATAAGTGGGTTGGTGGTTCACGGATGGTGTCAGCCGTCCAATCTCCTGCTTTGGACACCACGATGGACCAGCTCCTCTTATGTCCGTGGCCCTTCACAAATGGCTTCTTGCGCGATGCGTTCCTGGCAACTGGCTTCACATCAGCTGGAATGGGATCCGGGAAGCCAGCGAAACTGTGCCAGTCGCGCAGAGGATGCTTTGAGACTTGGACACCTTTTGCGAAACTGATCGGGGTGAAATCGAAGGATAGTCGTACGGCATGATTAGAGAGCGGCTCGGCCTTTACCGGAACCCTCCGCAACAGCAGCCACGGATGGGCGACGGCGAGGATAGCGACGATTAACAACCAAAATGCCGGAAGAGTGACGAGGGCATGGCCAAGAGAGTGCTTCTCTGCTCTGCCCACTTCATGAGCAAATATCATGACCAGAGCCACGAACAGAGCCAGAATCAGCCATGAGGTGAATCGGTGCGTGAGCTCAAAGTGATCATGCATTTTCCTGCGGAAGGTCGGGTACGCCACGACTATCATCACGAAGAGTAGGACAAGAATGACGTAGGCGACGGCGATCGGCGCCGCTGAGAAACCAGCATCTGTTACTGTGCTGATGGGAGAATTCGTCCAATAGATCTGTGACACCATGGCAACAAATCCAATATACCACACCAAAGATGCAGTTCCACAGCCACTGTGGACACCGCCGTAGTGGGCTGCCTTAGCGCATCTGCGGCGCAAAGACAGGGGTGCACTTCGCGGAATCGAGCATACCGCCCTATAGATGGCATTGACCATCATCGGGTGTCGAGCAAGACCGCACGCCACCAGATTTACAGCTGTCGCATTCACAAGTGCCAGAAGTCGCCGATCAGAGATCATCACGTAGAGAAAAACTGCGAGATTTGCGCAAAATACGACAGTGAAGAGCCGTCGATACACGGTAAACATGGCATATCTGAAGCGCGAAAACCGCTTCCGTCGGGGCTCTGTGTGCTGAGCCTCCAGGTCAGTCACATCGGGAGACTCGTGGCCATTCGATGAGATCGGGATCTCCTTGGAAGCGTCGTTGTTGTCAGTGACCTTTTCGAGATCTGGGTCAATGGCCAAGTCATCGTCTATGACAATGATCTGTTCAGAATCTGGGGCAATGGCCATGTCATTGTCTACGACAATGGTCTGTTCATGATCCGGGCCAGTGGGCATGTCATGATCTACGACAATGGCCTTTGCCGGGGGTGCCGGCATGCATAGATCGTTCTTCTCAGCGTCCGCCATAGCTGGAGGTAACAAGACGGAAGAGGGAGAAGGAAGGAGAGGAATTGGAGACCAGGATGTTTAATTTGAAATTAATTTTTTTTTTTTTTCATGTGGAAGACTAAAAGACGCCTTACACATTTTAGTGCGATTGGGGGTTTACCTAGGAAACTCAAGGAAACTCACTGGCGGAATCCCACAGATCCCGAGCTTGCAAAGGAACAGAGGAATGGATCCATGAGAAGGGCTCCACGGTGTGGAGATACCCTATGTTGTACAGACATATGGAGTCCATCGAGTCCAAAGTACGGAGGAGCATGTCGATAGTGGCTCGCCTTGCTTTGACCAGGTGGGAACGTGGACGGTCCAGCCCAAGATCCACCTACGGAGTAGGAACTCCGTACCCCTCAGTGTGTAGCTACTTCAAAGCCTTTCCATTTAGGGCTCTGTTAATTTGATAAAATTCGGAGTACCTCGGTCGATGTAATTGGACAGCCGCCGATCTTAGTAGATCCGATACCACCCGGCCACCAACAGTGCATAAACATAATCGAGGTGGGTTTTTTGCTTCGAGCTGGCACATAACCTAAAATTGAGATCAGAGAAGACAAAACCAATATTTAAAGAATCGGAATGGGCGGTGGAACCTGTAAAAGGTACATAGTTAGGCAAGCGAGGTTCATCACCTTGCTTCATAAGTGGCATGTACATACCTATTATACCATCCCTGCAGCCGCAAGGGAGACCATGCAGCACACAAGGTTTGTTAACAGGGCAACGTGTCCACGGGTACGGAGTACTTCGTACTCCGTACGGAGTCCACGTTCCTTGTTCTCATTCAGGGGGCGGTCCGTCTCGACAGTGTAGAGCAAGAGGTCCCCACCCGAACCCGCACCACGGGATCCCAAACTCGGTCTTTTTGTTGATCAACCCGATCGAGAAGTGTCGATCCAGTTCCCGATGTGTCAAAACTCGGTCCTCAGTGGAGCCATCCGTGGACCCGTGGACGAGAAGCTGTTCGTCGCGTTTGGTCCCCCTCAGTACATTGTAATGGCGTATCCCAGCATGAATATTGCATTCTGCATGATCCTGCAATCTGTACAGCGGGGCTATCCGCCATGCAATATGCGAATCGCTCCAAGGATAAAGATAAACGGCTGGATTATCATGTGAGTTTGATGACGGGACCCACTTGCGGCACGGGCTCCCAACACGGCAAGTCTTGGCAAAAAGGAAGATTCGGTATATTTCGTTCGCAAACACGGTATTGTAAGTAAAAAACACATATACAGAACTATTGAAACTAGCCAAAAATGAGATGCGCTAAAAAAACAAGATAGAAACAAGATAGCCGAGAACTAACCCATACTCAGTATGGATTGTCAGCCAGTTCTTCAGCTCGGCACTGAGACGAACGAGCTAGTGGAAGCAATTTTCCTCGCTAACGCCTTGGTTGGTTGCGAGCCGAGGAATTCGAAGGAGGACAGTTCTGCCCTTAATTCGCGAGAGACCCAGTTTTGGACAGCTGTAGCTTTGAGGGAATCAACTAGAGACGAGTGTTAGTTAAGTGAAAGATCAAAGTAGGAGGATATCATCAGTAAAACGTACCACCCAGCGCGGACAATGGTAGATCTGAGTCGATAGCATCAGCGGTTGTAGCCATTGCATCTGCTAAATATTCACTCAGAGTGTTAAGGACAATCTCAGTTGCAGCGTCGACGGAGTCACACTCCTTAAGTAAAGTGCTAGTCTGAATAGAATCTTGGGTATCCTCGACAGCGAGACAAAGCCGGTGATCAAACTTTCGATCGA